TCCCCCCCCCCCGCGTGATATAAAGTTTTGGAACCCCACACCCCAAAAAACCCCCCCACCAACGGGTGGGGGGGGGGAATTTTGGGGATTTAAAGTCCACACATCTTCAAATCGCTGAGGTTGAGAGACACTAGCTTAAACTTTTAATGTCTTTGGAGAAACAGTGGGGAAGACAGCAAAGGTCAGGGGAAAAAAATGCTCTGTGCTTTTCTAAGTACCGCTCTGTCTGGATTGGACCTGCCGGTGTCAAGCGGATCCTTAGTTAAGGCGCGGGAAAGTGATGGCTGACCTTTCTCCAGCCCATTTCCTCTAGAAACAGAATTTTATAGGTTTTCTGATACAACCAGGAGGCGCTGGGGCAGACGAGAAGACTACACAACACAAGCAAGAGCAGAGGTGTCCACAAGATGGCGGCCGCACCAGCGTGGTTGAAGCTGTGCCTGCTTGGCTTCAATCGCATTGCGGCCATCTTGACTTTTTTGCCCATACCCTGTGGACATCCTAGGCACAGGAGTGAAACAAGGACAAGGCCCAGCTTAGCATCCATTTCTGTTGCGGTTTAGATCCTTAACGTTGGCCGGAGTGTTTCTCGTAACGGCCTGGGGAGAGATTTCTTGATTCGGCGCAGCAAGATTTGCTTAAAAAAAGCAGGATGAGTAGAAAAGGACCGAAGATAAGATACAGAAAGTCTAAAGAGGTAGCCATGCACTGTGTGTGGTGGAGGCCTGGACCATATTCCAGTGGTGTCCCAGTGTACGTCAACAAGTTTGGGGAGCCGGAGAAGACCAGTTTTGAAATAATGATTTGCACAGGTAGATTCCTGTCGTTTCTCGCTCCCAACCTATCAATGCGTGCGATGACTTCTTCTTCGTCCTCCTTTCTGAGGACTAGTAACTTTTGCAGACGCGTTGTCAAGTCCCGAGTAAGGCAAAGAATTCTTTGGCAAGGTCAGGCTTAGGGTAGGGTGTTGCTGCCAAGCTTCCACAGTTGCATAGCTGCACATGAAGAAACGTGATCGACCTGAATCACCTCGTTAACGAAACAAAAGACACACATCGAGTTTTCATCAAGGCCTTGAGAAATAAGCAAATTATATTACAGGCATTAAAAAGGTAGCGTCCCAACCACTAGGATACATATTAAAACGTTCTCATGCTTTTTCTTTTTCTTCTTGCAAAACATAGAAACGTACAGATTCCTGTCGATGATACAACACCGACCTCCTCGGATCTCTATTAAGACATGTCAGCAAAGGAAAGGCATTTGAGATATAAAACCATTTTTTAAACAATCCCGTGTGCGGTTTATATGCAGAAGTAGAGGCAGCTGCAACTTGATGTAATCTCCAGGTCTTCTCCCTGACTTGTAAAGCCCACAGGCCTAAATTCCCACCAGCCTCCCCTCACTGGGTAATCTGGCTGTTTTCTCCCAAAAAGCTAAAATAGAAACACAGGCCCTTTGGGAAAGGTTCAATGTGCTTTTGGACTCTGTGAGAGTAAACCTAGAGGTAGATACACAATTGTGGTCTGTTTCTTTATGTCAGTATTTCTCAATCCCAGCCACTTTAAGATGTGTGGACTTCAACTCCCAGAATTCCCTAACTAGCCTGGCTGGGGAATTCTGGAAGTTGAAGTCCACATGTCTTAAAGTTGTCTAGTTTGAGAAACACTGATCTAGTCCAACCCCAGCTGGGTGGAAGAAATGTAAACCGAGAAGGGAAGACACAATTGTGCTCTATTTCTGTATGTCAATGTTTCTCAATCTCAGCCACTTTAAAATGCGTGGACTTCAGCCTGGCTGGGGAATTCTGGGAGTTGAAGTCCACACATCTTAAAGTGGCTCAGATTGAGAAACCCTGCGGTAAGTAGTTCAGAATTTGTCATACGCCCAGAGATACAAATGGACAATACCATTTTTGCATGCCACCTTGCATAAAGCTTTCCTTTAAAGCAGAGCAAGGAACATGCTTACCAGTGGCATTTCTCCCTGACATGCTAGCTTTCTACCTGCAAGGACCTTTGAATTCCCTCTAAAATGGCACCTGTCTGCTTGCAACCCGAAAGGGGTGAGGTGTCTCATACTGCCTTAGGAATGTCCCACTCCATGAATGGATTTGGTTTAGGAACTTTTGTTAAAAAGAAATTAGAGCCACTTCTGTATATCCTAGCAATTGTATCACAAACCTTTTGCCTACAGCACTGCATCTCCAAGTGAGGGAATAAATGCATGGAGCCCCCGAAGCGCAGCTGCAGAAAAAAGAGGCTTCCCATTGCAAATTGTCAAGACCATTCATCTTCCACCCCTAGGACTTTTCTACTCTGACCAGCTGTCCCTTCCCAAAGCTGGAGCAGACGACCTTTCTGGTCATCTGCTGGCTGGCTGGCTGGCTGGCTTACTGGGTATGAACCAGAGACCTTCTCCATGCAAGGAGGCTCTTGGCCGCTGAGCTATATAATTTATGTAGCTGCCGTATAATTTATAGCGAACCTCCTTCATTCTGTGGTCTATCCCCTAAAACTCACGTATCCAATTTGGGGCAAGGGAGGGGCCAATTCTTCGAGAATCAGCTTCATCTCATAAACAGAGTCACACAGATATTCTTTCTTTTGCCTCAGTTCAAGAGATCCAAACCAGTTCAACTCCTCCACCTAATGCTGGTCTCTGGGTGTCTGAGGCCAGCCCTGAGCATTCCCCGGGATCAGCCTGGCATCTTCCCAGATGTGACCAAGCAAGAGGCCTCTGAGAAGCTCACAGGCAGAAGAAACACTGCCCTTGCTCTGTGCCATGGTGGACCATGCGCTCTTCCCTCCATAAGGCCTCACAAAGTTTCTTGTCTCTACACACCCATCTTTATTTTTAATTGGAAATGGAAGAAGTACACATCATTATCTTTTATGCACTCCTACTTTGAACATTCCCTTTAAAAATGCCAGGGGGCCACCAAGCTCAGGAGAGCCACCGCATCTGGGCATCTCTGCTCCGCCAGACCTTCCTGCTCTACAAAACCCTACCTGAATTAATGGCGACCAGCGCTCTGTTTTAGAGAAATCTAGCATCTGTATATAAAGCAGGTTGGGAGAAGCTTCATTTTTGCAGTTTAGGAGACTTCCTCGAATGGGAGGGGCCAACCAATTGGGGACAGCTGCATTTGGGGGGATCTGAAGGGGCAGAGGCTTAAGGAGTCCATTTCACCCATTAACAAATTTGGTCTCTGCTGGAATGCTGCGATCCTATTCACTTCCCAACCTCGCCAGAGGAGCCCGTTGGCGGAAAGAAAGTGTGCGTCCTTAGCGTAAAGACAAACCCGTTCCCGCAATTTTGAAACATGTATTCACAGGTCAACCACCTCCTCAGATGGCAATCCCTTCTGACAGATCTGTCCTCCGTGAACTCATCTAGGTTTCCTTTTCACTGTTTCAGCCAGTTGCTTTCATCGTATCATCTAACACGGCGTTTCTCAACCTTGGCGACTTTAAGATGGGTGGACTTCGACTCCCAGAATTCCCCAGCCATCCATTTTAAAGTCACCAAAGTGGAGAAATACTGCTGACAGTTCTATACTGTAAACAAATTATGTGCAGTTTGAAAAAGTATGTATTTTTGCCAGTTTCCATTACCCATAAGGTAGTTTCCCTTTTCCAGTATTTGTTTGGGTGCGTGGGAGGGACAGGGTGGAGTACACAAGAGAAAACGTTTGGGTAAATTCTCTTTCAGGGTTGATTTCAGAATTGTAGCCTCTTGTCAAATAACTTACAGGTAGTCCTTGCTTAACAACCATTCGTTTAACAACAGTTCGAAGTTAGAACAGCCTCGGAAATAGTGCTTTACAACCTGTACTCACACTTATGACCATTGCAAACCATCACACCCCCATGGTCATGTCATTGCAATTTGCAACCTTTTTTATGACAGTTGGTAAGCAAATCACTGTGGTCATTAAAGCCAACCATGTGGTCATTAAGCAAATTCCAGCAGAAAAGTCCATTGGGGAAGTTGGATTTGCTTAATGACCACAGTGATTCGCTTAATGACTGTCGTAAAAATGGTTGTAAATCGGGTCTAGTCACGTGGTGACTCACTTAACGACTGCCCTGCTCAGCAACCAATTTTCTGATCCCTACTGTGGTCCTTAAGTGAGAACTACCTGTATAATGATTCTTATTAGGAACCCAGGAAGATGTTTTATTATACCAGGCCAGATTCATGGCTTATGATCTTCTACGAGTCTTACTGGATGGGGGCAGGAGGGTATATTCAGAATTTTAGAATGGTGGCCAACCCCAGCCCACACAGCATCCCTCGATTAACAACCCCCTTCCCCCAACACCACCCCTCACTTGACTTGTACTTTTCTGGCTATCTGGATACATTTCCAATCACACAGCCATCTACCATTTTTATTTTCCAAGAAAGGCTAAGAAGCCCTTGGGAATAAAAATCCTACAGGCCAGTGCCTCGCTTTGAGTAAGTCAGTTTTCCATTTATTATTAATTTTAATATATTAATTAAATATAGGAGGAACAGGGAGGGTGGCAGGACCATGGGTGCCCACAAGCTCAGTACTGGGAGCCCACTGCAAGGGTTTCTCCTAATGCTTGCTACCCAGCCCTTTAAACTGGAGACGCAGAGGCCTGCATCTAGGCCTCTACCACTTGAGGAACTGCCCCTGAATTCTCTTAATTTCAGGGGAACTGGAAAAGCGTTTCTCTCTAACTGCTGTCCTTGCCCATACATTTTATAAATGGGCTTCTTCAATGACGTAAGCCATTACAGGCCTTTCTCTCTGCATAATTTTCTCCGGTGCAGAATCACGATTCAGCATGGGTTTTTCTTTCCACTCACTGATGAAGCCAAACTGTAAAATTCAACATTTGCAGCAGCTGATCAAGACTATTCCCAATGCAGCTACAGGACTGAAAGTCTGCCGCATTTACTGTTTTGAAAATCCCTGCAAACAGAAAACTAAGTCTTCAGGATTTCTGACCTACTAGTTTTCTACATGCAGGTGTATATTTAGATCTGTATAAAGGGAAAGCCTTGAAATATCACAGCACTGGCAGCGTTTCTTGCCCTAAATGCATTCTCTGGTGCTTCACAAAGTACGAACTAGTGGTGAAACTTTTCCCACAGAAGTTGCACTTGTAGGGTTTCTCCCCTGTGTGGGTTCTTTTATGGAGCACCAGATGGGCTTTACAGCTGAAGCCTTTCCCGCAGGCGGTACAGGTATACGGTTTCTCTCCCGTGTGGGTCCTCTCGTGGTACAGGAGGGCCGAGCGCTGCCGGAAGCTCTTCTCACACGTGGAGCATTTGTACGGCCGCTCCCCCGTGTGGATCCACTTGTGTTTCACAAGATCCGAACTCCGGTGGAAGCTCCCTCCGCAATCGGAGCACTTGTACGGCTTCTCTCCCGTGTGGATCCGCTCGTGTTTCACGAGGTCTGATCTTTGGTGGAAGCTCCTCCCGCAGTAGGAGCAGGTGTGGGGCTTGTCCCCCGTGTGGAACCTCTCGTGAACGATCAGCTTGGACCGCTGGCTGAAGCACTTCTCGCAAGTCGTGCATTTGAACGGCTTTTCCCCCGTGTGGATCCGTTCGTGGCGGGAGACGTCGGAGCTGCGGTTGAAGCTCTTGCCGCAGAACGAGCACTTGTACGGCCAGTCTCCAGTGTGCAGCCTCTCATGAGCGATGAGTTTGGCAACTTGACAGAAGCTTTTGTCACACACAGAACATTTGTACGGATTCACGCCCAGGGGAAACCCTTCTGGCCCGAGGCCAGAGACAGGATTGAAGCTTCCCCCACAGTTTGAACACAGAGACTGCTTCCCTTCCGAAGCACCAGCATCCGTTGCTCTGGGGCCATTCTCCTGCAGGCGCTGGGGACTCCTGGGCGCGTCTCCCGCCTCTCCGGGTCCACCTGTCCCTTCCCGCCTCTCCCGGGACAATGACCCATGTGGCTCCATTCCCAGGCTGTTTTTCCACTCGTTGGCTTTTTTGTTTTCACCCACCTGCCCATCGTCTGCTGGAATAAAGAGAAAACCCAAACAAAATTCATTCTCAAAAGAGGAGTGAAAACTAAAGACGCAGTTGTTCAACCATGTGGAAGGAAATACTGAGATTTCTTGGAGAGTTAGCTACAGGTTGCTTCTATGAACAATTTCCAAAATCAGATTGTTCAGTGGGGTAGCTCTTTGCAAAAATACGTCCTCTTTCTCAGTCTTACTTCAACCTACTACAGTAACTGTTTCTTCAGTCTGATGTTCCCTTTCTGCCCCTTTGGCCAATATCTTTCCTGCTAAAGGCATTTCCCTTCCGTGTTCCTTTGCAAATCCCACACCCTCTTTTAATGTTTTTAAAGTTAACGTATTTGCTTCTCATCTGATTCTTTTCTTTTCCTGCCAGATCCTTCCCTGCCTTGGCTTCTGCTTCCTGGTCATCCCTCTGCTCTTATTCCCTGATATACCTCTGATTATTAAAAAAAAAAAAAAGGTACCGAAAAATCTCTTCCACTACAAAATTAATTTTCGAAATAAATTACCAGTAACTGTGGAGCAAGTCTAGTTTGTCAGCTCTACGAGGTAGACCAGACCAGAACAATCAATTCCACAGGAAGACGAGAACTACACTTTATCGAGAGAGCAATAATAACCGACTCTTGCAAGTCTGTCGTGTTTTTTCCTCCCCTCCCTCTTATAACCCAGTGACTCAGTCCCAAAGGCTCTCTTGCTTTTGCCCTTTCCACTGACCTAGCAGCTTCTGAATTTTTGCTTCAAGGCCATCTCCCTGGCTCTCTACATCGTTAGGTGCCACCCACCCAGAAATCAAGACTGCCTGTAATAGATGTAATCCCTAAATCAAGTGATCTATCAGTTGTTTTTACAAGAGAATCATGCTTCTAACATGGAGCCAAACGGGCAAACTCAGCATCGCTGGCACCAATAAAAGCATGCTCGTCTCTCAGAACAATTGCACACAATTCTCCTGATTGACGGCAATGTCTGTAATAAGAGCAGCTTACTCTGAGAAAGGCCGTCCTCGCTGACCTCCTGTTTGACTGCCCTGCTAAGCGGCCTTTCAGACGATGCTTGTTCGGAGTCAGGAAAATTCACAGTCACCACATGAAACATCCCTGGGCCCTAAAGATAAGCAAACGTTTGGAATTAGCCCAGATGGGGTGCGGCTCGAGGATTAAGGAAGGCAGGATACCATGTTTCATGGTGTTTTTAGGTGGGTCCCTTCTAGACACTGATGGTTTCCCCCGCCCGGCTGACCAGCTGATAGTGGCAGTTCTTAAAGGTGGCCAGGATTGCTCTTGTAATTACTATAATGCCTCAATGCACCCAAAAGGATGTCCCTCTGGGGCACCTGGGAAAATTAAAGGGCAGCTCATAGATCCAGCTTCTGGATTTGGAAGGCTGGTGGCCCATCTGAGCTCCCAAACTGGACTTCAAGCTCTCACCTTCTGTTCCTGCCTCCCTTCCTCTGGATGCCTCACCAGGAAGTCCTCAGCCAGGGCCACGGCCTGAGCACATGTGTGAGGGTGGCACTCCCGGACCCAGCACTCCATCGCCTGTGGCAGGACGGCCAGGAACTGCTCCAGGATCACCAGCTCCAGGATCTGCTCCTTGCTGTGTCTCTCCGGCTTCAGCCACTGATGGCAGAGCTCCCAGAGGTGACTGCAGACTTCTCGGGGTCCCTCGGCTTCCTGGTAGAGGAACCGCCTGAAGCGCTGGCAGGGGAGCTCCGGGGTAGGGGCATCCTGGTTCTCCACCTCCTCCTTCACTTTCCGCCTTTCTTGGTCAGCCAGCTGCATCGGGCCAACAAAACCAGGTGGCAGAGGTTGGAAAAATGCCCCTTCCGTGGACCGCTGGCTGCTCGCTGCTGTCAGCTCCAGGTGGGCCAAGGGGGCCTTGGTGTCCCCCCACGGAGCAGTCCCTGGCAGGTGCCTGGCCCCCCATCCTGAGCAAGGGGACTGCATGCCCCCCAGGAACTCCTGCCACTGGGCCTCCCAGTGCAGGGACGACAGACAATCCTCTTCGGGCTCCTGCTTAATGTGGAGTCCTCTCCATCTCAGATCTTGCCGGTCAGACCCCATCGGGGCCACACTGGGGCTTTCTCTGGGCCCATCCAGCTCCAACGTTGGCTTCAAGTCTGCTGGAGACTCTGGGGCCTCCATTTTCATCGTAGGGTTCAACTCCTGACCAGACGCGGTTCTATCCAGGGCGGCAGATGGAGAAGAAACACCCAAGGGTGACTCTGGGGACTGCGGTCACATGACTGTGAAGTGTAAGGGATGAAAAGATCTCTTGGGTTTTTTTGAAACTCCTCAAGGCTTTTTTCTGGGGAGACGGATCCTTTGCTCCAGACCTGGGGTGCTAAATTTTCTCCCGGGAAGCACAAAGAACTGTAGAAGCAACACACAAGAGATAAAAAGCTAGCTTTTGTAGAAAGACGGATCACAAAGTTTACTCAGGGGGAGCAGTGTTGGCATGCAACAGACATCATGGCACCCCGGCTTTAAATATTTTTTAGAGCCTTTTAATTAGCAAATATTAAGGAATGGGATGTTGGCAAGATGCAAAGTTTATTTCCCAGAATTCCTCAAGCCCACATAAGCCTCACCAGCATCCCTAGAAAATAAACAAAATAAAATAAAGGAGGGAGCCTTTTTTGTAATGCCACCCCATTTATGGAACATCCCCCCAAAAGAGGTTTGACTGGTACCCATGTTAGCATAATTTCAGCCCCAGGTAACGACATTTTTATTTTTAATCGTATTTTAATTGCTATTGTTTTAGATTTTGATGACTGCCTTGCCACTGCCTTGTTGGTATGGTGTCTTGATTTTTTATTTGATTTGATTTTACAACGTATGTTTTAGCTTGAATTGTACATATGTTTTCTTGGGGGTTTTACTGTAAATGACCCAGGGAGCTGTTTACAAAGTAAAGAAGAATAAATACTGCAAAGGCAGATTAATGGAGGAGAGAGTATTCTGAGGCTAAAAGGGGTGGCCCAGAGCATCCAAATAATTTTTGCTTTATTTCATCATATATTATTCGATGATGACAATTTATTTCATCATATATTGTTTTTATTTCATCATACATTTATTTGATGTATGTACGTTATGAAAATCATGTATTAATTCTATATTAGACAATGAATACATGTATAAACTGCACTGAACTAATTTGATTATGTGCCATCAGATAGAGGTGGACTGTTAGCAACAGTATACATAGAATTTCTCCAGGTGTGAAACTAATTTACAAGAGGAAAATATAAATACACACAGCAGCATTAATGAATAATAAATGGTATCTGCTTCAAATTTTGTATTATAAAAAGAGTGGGGAGGGAAAAAGGCCATAGAAATGATATACACTGAACGACTCCTGAACTTTGACCATACTGATCAAAACTACTCTTCCTTGTCATTTGCTGGAAAAAAACAAAACAAAACCCAAAACCGATTCAAATGTTAAGAATACGGAAAATAAGGGGACAGTGCTTTCAGACAAGTGTCTTCCAAAGCATCCTGACTCCACTCACAAGCGTGACACAGCCCCATCCACTAAGGCACTTTGCTGGAGTTTTAAATATTTTACAGTAATTATGATCTGGAGATTTATTAAATTTATATGCCGCCCAACTCCCAGAGATTCTAGGCGGTTTACAATTGTTAGAACATTTAAAAACAAAGAACAATACAAAAAACACACACGTGCACTCCCCCCCCCCCAAATACACACACACAACAATTCCCATATATGCCAAAGCACCTTTTTGGAACTGAATCCAAAGATCTGCATAGCCCTCTTGTTTACCTTCTCCCTGCCAAAAATAATAATAAAGGAAACTCTGTAAGAACATTGTAACAAAAAATCCTAGTATTTGAATTTGCTTGCTTCCTCCTCCTTTCCCATCAATTTTCCTCTTATGTCATGCCAACCAACTTTAGTTCTGCAGTTCTACTTCAAATTCCAGCGACCGATAAACATTTGGACCAATCCTCTGAAGGTCTAACTGAAAGTAAGTCCCCAGCAAGTTTCAAACTGCATCTTTGGAAAATACAAGCCTCTGGGAGAAAGAACAGACTTTCATTTTCAACAGCCAAATGAAACTTCACCTCTCCCATATTTTTTCCCCAGATTCTCTCCTACTTTATTGCAGGAGCCAGTTTGGGGGAGCTGAAATGGGCTAGGGGGCCAACTTGTTAAACTTTCCTAACACCAGTTATTCTTCCTAAGCTTTTTCACTTAAAAAAATCAATGCACCTTTTAGATGTTTGACGCACTAATATTTAGCTAGTGGTGCTTAATTATCTATTTATATATAGGCGGATCAACATGCACACGCCCATATTATGTCCATCATCTTTCTGACTGCACTTGGGGAGCCAGCGGTTCCGGCGGTGCCATAAACCCTGATAATAAAAGAAATAAGTTGTTCCGTATTTATTAAATTGCAGACCCGCAGGCTGACGCGCTTTCACAGCCACAAAGAAAGCCGCCTTGCGCAGAGTCTCTGGGTCGCTGTTTGTTTGCTCATCAGCCTGCTAATTCTGAGGGGGGGA